ATTGAGTTAACCATTGTGTACCATTATCCTTTGATAGTGGGAACATTTGCCTTCCACAAGTTATTTTTTGGTTTTTAAGTGTAGAACTAAGTTATATTGGTTTTGAAAGTTCAACATTACCATGACTAGAAGGTGATAAAGCAACATATCAAATTTTATATTGGTTTTGAAAGTTCAAATTTTCAAATGAAATGTTTGTCCACAAGTTTTTTTTTTGATGATCGTGGTGTCCGGGCCAACTTTTGTGCACCTCGACTAATTCCACTTTATACATGCCACCTCCCACCAACAACAAGTACTAGGTAACTTTGTCCACCAAGGCTAGGACAAAAAGGAAGATTCACTAGTGTTTTTTGTTCCCACTGAATTTTGAATCTGAGACCTCAGGGTTCTCAACCACTTCATTGACTATTAGGCCACACCCTTGGGTGTCAATGTTTGTCCATAGGTTGAGTCAGTAATGCATCTTAAATTGCTTTAACTTGTCAAAAAGTATATTGTGTGTGCAACTTAATCTCATGCACTCATGAGGGGCATGCATTTTTGTTTTCTTAATTATTGCTTTGGAAAACTTAGGGATCACTATTCAAATAATGTCTTTTCTTGTTTGACTTAGGTCAATAACATTCTTCCTTTCTCGAAAGATGTAAACTAATCTTTTCGTCTGTTCCAAAGTGTTGGTGTATGCTTTATATGTAAAAACACCATTCCTCTTTTATGCTCCCCTTTTGAATATATACTACTTAAAAGGTTACATGTCACAACTTCTACTTTTTAGAATCTCAAAGTTGTCAAAAAATAACATCTTCATCTTCTATGATTGCCAGGACTTGTAGGAGTCTTATTTATGATTATTTTATTCTGCTTTTCCCTCTTCTTAGAAATAAATTTTAGCGACAATGTGTGCTGTTATTTCTTTTCTTTTATTTGCAGTTTCAAGCTACTGTTAAAATTCATTGACCTTTTCCAGTCCATCCAGATTTAGTTTTCCCATTAAGTTAAAAAACAAAGATAAGCACTAGTCTCATCCTGCATCAGTCGGGGGATAGCTGTTAACATAACCTGTAGGTTGATTATTTTGTGACATTCCTGAAAAGTAAACCCCGCTTTTGGGGCTATACCGGGTTTGTTGTTGTATTCCTGCAAAGGAAACTTATGTAACATAAAATTAAAGAGAGACCTGAAGTCTTGTAGAAGCATTTCTCCTAAGAAAGTGGGAAGCGAATAGAAAAGAAAATAACATTCTTGCATTTCAATCCCAGTGGTTAGTTAAGGCTCAATGGTTTTCTTTGAATCTTGCAATTTTTGTGGTCTAAGGTGTTGACTTGCAGAGCAAACTGTCCCAGATGTAGGTGCATGTTTGCAGTTAATATAGCTGAAATATAGTAGGGGTATATTTAACAGAATGGGTGCCTTTCATTCATTGCTCTGCCCTAGGATTCCTTCTCTCCATATCTTTTAGCCACTCGTCAACTCTTCACGCTTAGTTACTGTTCCCAGCTTATGGTAATATCTGTTACATGTTAGGAAAAAAACATACAACGACTTCTGGAGATCACCCATTAAAACTGTCTAAATTCTTTCCCTTTTATTCTCAAGTCTATATGACTTTGCCTAAAGTATGCATGGCATGTAACAACCAAACACTCAATCTAATGACTGTTGCAGGCTAGTTATTACATATTCAGCTTAGGATTGATCCATTCTATTCACTTTGGTTGGGATGGCCTATTTGTATTTTCTGTTGTCAAGCTGATCGTAACTTTATAATTGATTCCTATTTGTGTACTGAACAACAATCATTTTCTAGGGCTAATGCACAACAACCCAAGCTTTTTGTTGGGATGATCCTCATTCTCATTTTCGCTGAAGCCTTGGCTCTTTATGGGCTTATTGTTGGCATTATCTTGTCTTCCCGAGCTGGGCAGTCTAGAGCTGAGTGAACTTGACTCCATTCTTGCCGCACTGTATGTGGGACTTCAGAAGATCAAGACAGCTAAAGCCGAAAGTCAAAAAGTATCTATTACGTGTATTGTTATTCATGACACCACAGCTGTCACTTCAATTTGTTGGTGTTATGTGCTGTTTGTAGAAATAGGAATTCATTTTTTTCCACTTAATAATAGCTTAAAGAGCTGTGCAATTTGGTCTGTATTTAATGTGTATTTTGCACTCATTATTTGTGAACAGTCTGAGAACTATTTCTTTTCTAAGATTCGTGCATGTACGAACTACTTCTCATCTAGTATATTATGTTTACTCTGCATCTATGGGATTGAATTTGAATATTTCTTTTATCAACCAAGTTATATTTGGTGGTACTTACTTGAAGGTGCATATACTTGGTGCTCATAATGTATTCATTATTTTACAAGTAAAAGGTACTATTCTTTATGACAATAAATATTAATCGAGTTGACTCAGGACACATCAGTTTCAACTTGCAATTTTACCCTTTATATTTTACATAATGCATTGCTTATTCTAAAATTATATCTAAATCGCTTTAAAATGTTTTGTATAGAATAACATGAGATACATGTGCTGAAAATTAGTAAGTAGAGAAGGATGAACCTATTATCCAGCTTCAATCCATGCACCACCTGGCCCATGGACAACCAATATTGTGACTAACACTTATGGGGTCTCAGTATCAGAAATTTGTGACTTAAATTATTCGGGTGCATAGATTATAAGGTGGGTGTAGGGACTAGAATTCTATTCTTTCCAGACAAATGGATCGCCAGAGTTCACTCATGGAGGATTTTCCAGATTTATTTTCTTTTGGTGGCAACCCTGAAGCCTCTATTGCTGAGACCTGGACGAACCAAGGATGAAATTTCATCTTTAGGAGGCTTCTAAATGACGGGGAGGTTGAGAGAGTGGCCAGCTTACTGCAAAGATTAAATGATTTCTCTGGTTTAAATACTAGCCCTGATACAATGATAGATGGAGACATGATAGGGATGAAAAATTTTCAGTGGAGGATTATACAGAAGAAATTTGTCCTCACAAACTGGGAGCATCTCTGGACCTTGGAAACAAATATGGAAATCTAATATCCTACCAAGATCAAGTGTTTCACATGGCAAGTATGTAGAAGAGCATGCCTAACTCATGAGAAACTGAAAAAGAGAGGTTTTGAGATTGTCGCAAGGTGCTTCTTTTGCCATGAAAAGGAGGAAACAAATAGTCATCTGTTTCTTCATTGTAGAGTGAGTTCTCAGGTGTGGCATATGTTTTATAATCTCCTCCAAAAATCATGGGTGATGCCTGAGCATACAACAGATCTTCTAACCTGCTGGATGAGGAGAGGTGGGAGTTAAATACAGAAAAAAATGGTGGAGCCTAGTCCCTTCTTGCATATGGTGGTCAATCTGGAAGGAAAGAAATAATCGATGTTTTGAGAATATTACTAATCCAATGCAATATTTTCGGTGTAAAGAAGAGGGTATAGATGAGGTAGGACAGCTAGTAGATTTCCTAGGCTCTCTGTAATTAGGATTACTTGCATTGTAATTTTTTGATGGTTGACAGATACCCGCGTTGCTGAGGAATACAACTTTACCTTGCTTAAAAAAACATGTGGATACTTGCAGGAAGCACAACCAGATTGACATAAAACAGTATAACCAACAATTCTGTAATTTAACAAAATCAAACACAGAGCACCTAAAAATAGCCACTTGGTTAGCAAGAGCACTTGCATCTCATTATAAGTTTTTTTGAAACATTAGGCAGAACTACATTAATATCATATAAACACAGATCCCTTGTGTGCTTCTCATCATTAATCTTGTATAGTGAAAAAGGAGATAGCTCAATCTAATGACTCTTTTTTCCCCTCTACCTTTCATAACCACTCTTGCTAAACCTTTTTCACTTTATTTACAATGTACATTGTATTGTATGTATCATTCTGTATCTAATCATTCCTTACATTTTTACACTCTATATCTTTCTCGTTATTAGGGAAATCTACACTTGGTTTACAAAGTCCAAACATGAATTGCTAATTTATAAAAGACGAAATGGCTTGGGAGATCCTTGTACTTATTTTGATTTGTAGACCTAACTACTTAGGTTACTACTGTAAATGTACTGACTCCAGATCAGTTTCTGTTGCTTGGGATAGAACTATGGGTGGAGGAAATGGAGGAGTCATAGTGGAAGAAGAAAGTGGAATTTCTACGGCATAAAGTGGCTCGCGGGGGACTTGAACTTGATTTCCCTATGATCACAAAACAATTTGATGTAAGAATGTAAAATGATGTGGCAAGTTTTATCTCAATTCACATTTTTGATTTTGAACTCTAGTCGAGCTGATGGCGAGATCGATTCTTTGTTGGAGTTTCAAGAGGAAGGAGAGGAACCACTGATGCAAGTCTACATATCATAGAGCTGGCAGCGGAGGTGTACAAGTTAGTTAGTGGGTGATGTCCAATAGTTAGTTGGTGCCCATTAGTTAGTTACAATTCTGTTACAAAAGTCAGTTGAATGTTCAGGAGTAGTTAGTTGAATTCATTAGTGGATTAGATCCATATATACCAGGTAAAAGATTTCAATTGATTCATTAAATGATGATACATTTCTTTTTCTTCTAAAATTCTCTCTCTTCTGATATCTCGGCTTCCAGTCGTGAATTAGCATCTCAGTTCTTCAAGTTCAAAGCTCCTAGAATTGTTCTTCTTAATTGATGCTTAATTGACTGTCATTGTGCATCAACCACCGCCAAATGGTGCTTTTACAAAAGTATGGCAGCGTGATTGAGAGACGCAATGAGTTTGGAGTGGTTTAAAGTAGTGTGTTGGAACCACTAGGTGATGCCTGATAAAGTGGACTGGGTTGACAAATCAGAATGAAGTACGAGGGTCTTTTAGTCATTCACTTTTATTGTGTAGTATAAATTATTGTCTTCCTCTTAATGGTCCACAAACAGCTAGCTAAAGAAGACTTGTGCAAAAACTTTGAGAAGACTTTGTGAAGGAGCAAACACAACTATGGCCGATCCTGTAATTGGTGCTACAGTTCAAGTTTTGCTTGAAAAACTGCTTTCTCTCACTATTGAGGAACTCAGTAGCTCAAGGGACTGCAAGAAAGATCTGGAAATGCTTACAAAAAATGTATCCTTGATCCAAGCTTTCATTCATGATGCTGAAAGACGACAAGTTGAGGATCAGGCTGTCAAACTATGGCTCAAGAGGCTTGAGAAAGCTGCTGAAAATATGTTTGATGAATTTAGGTATGAATCTATCAAAAGACAAGTGAAAATCCGAAACAAACCGATGAAAAAGGTCAGTGATTACTTTTCTCATACAGCTTTGAAGAGCAAAATGTCACGAAAAACCAACAACATCAATGAAGAGTTAAGGGCTGTCAATAAGTTAGCCAAAAACCTCGGTCTCCAATTACTCATGGTTCCTCCTCGGCAAACACTACCAATTTGTGAAACAGATTTCGTAGTAGTTGCTTCGGAGGTTGTTGGTAGAGACAACGATGTTGCAGAGATAAAGAGGAAGATGTTGAACATGAGAGATGATATTGTTCTGTGCTCCATTCCCATAGTGGGTCTGGGGGGTTTAGGGAAAACAGCTGTGGCTAAGAGAATTTTCAACAATGAACAAATCGAGAAACACTTTGAAAAGAGAGTTTGGTTGTGTCTACCTGAAATGTCAGAAACGAAGAGCTTTCTTCAACTAATCCTCGAATCATTGATAAAGAGGAAAGTTGAGGTCCAAAGCAGAGACATAATAGTCAAGATGCTACAAGATAAACTGGCAGGAAGAAAGTATTTGCTTGTCCTGGATGATTTGTGGCGTGTTAACTCTACATTGTGGGTAGAGTTTGTAGATACTTTGCGAGGAATGAATACATCCCGAGGAAACTTCATTCTCGTGACTACTCGTATGGAACAGGTGGCATCCACAGTAGCAACTGTAGCTCCTCATAAGTTGGAAAAATTAGCAAAAGATCATCCATTTTCAAACAAAGAGCATTTGTTGATGGGGAAGTTCCAGAGGAAATAGTGATCATGGAGAACAGGATTGTTGAAATGTGTCAAGGTCTACCATTGGCGGCAAGTGTGTTGGGAGGCCTTTTACGCAACAAGCAAAAACATGAATGGCAGGCAATTCTTGATGGAAACCCCCTTGTTGCAGGTGAAGATGATAACAGAGAAAATAGCGTTAAGAAAATCCTAAAACTCAGCTATGATTATCTACCATCTCCACATCTGAAAAAATGCTTTGCTTACTTTGCAATGTTTCCAAAAGATTTTGAGTTTGAAAAGGACCAACTAATCCAACTCTGGATGGCAGAAGGCTTTCTTCATCCATGTCAAGAGATCACTGTAATGGAAGACATCGGGTACTAGTTCTTTCAGCTCTTGTTGCGAAATTCCTTGCTGCAAGATGTTAAGTTAGATAAGCAAAACAACATAACACACTGTAAGATGCACGATCTTGTGCATGATTTGGCTGGGGATATCTTAAAATCTAAACTATTTGATCCGAGGAGCGATGGTGGAGAAAATCTTTCTCAAGAGCGATATTTTGGATGGGACTCACCAAGTGATCAAATAGATAAGATAAAAGAGCCAGAATGTTTGTCCAGTTCAGGAATGAAGGAGTTGTCAGCCAAAATAGGGAAGCTGATACACTTAAGATATCTTGATCTCTCGGACACTAAGATCACAGCCTTGCCCCACTCCATTTGCGAGCGTTATAATTTGCAAACATTTAGATTCTACAAATTCGGTTCACTCTTGGCACTTCCATATGAGATGGGAAATATGATAAGTTTGCGACACATTTACTTCTGTTCTCGGTCTCAGATGCCACTTAACATGGGACAATTGACTTGTCTTCAGACCCTACAGTATTTCAATGTGGGTTTAGAGAAAGGTTGTCGAATAGAAGAATTAGGTCATTTGAAGAACCTTAGAGGTAAGTTGAGGATCAATGGTCTCCAATTGGTCCATAATAGAGAAGAAGCTTGAACAACATATCTACGGGAGAAACTGAATATTTACAAGCTGGCATATTTATGGTCCCATGAGGAATCAAAAGGATGTGCAATCAATGATCAGCATGTGTTGGATGGTCTTCAACCGCATCCTAACTTGAAAACATTAGAAGTGAAGAACTACTTGGGTACTAGATTTTCTTCATTGTTCAGTGAAGAATTGCTACCAAATTTGGTCAAGTTGAAATTAAGTGGTTGCAAAAGGTGCAAAGAAATTCCACCGCTTGGCCAACTGAAGTTCCTTCGGCATCTTGAGCTGATAGGACTCCTTGAATTGGAATTCATCGGACCTACATTTTATGGTGTTGAGGTTAATGATAATGGATCGTGCAGCAAAATCCAAGTGTTCCCGTCATTGAAAGAACTTCTATTGGAGAATATGTATAGCCTTATTGAGTGGAATTGATACCAACAACAAGAGGGGTAAGAATGTTTGCTAAGCTTGAGAATTTGAGGATTAGAAACTGTCCATTGTTAAAAAGTACTCCGAATCAATTTGAAATCCTACGTGAATTAGAGATTGTGAGAGTTGACAGTAAAATGCCATTGTTGAACTTGTGCAGCAACTTGACATCTCTCGTAAAGTTAAGGGTCTATTTTGTGAAAGAGCTCACTTGTTTACCAGATGAGATGCTACGCAACAACGTTTCACTTCAACACCTATGGGTCTCAGTGTGCGGTGAGTTTCGTGAATTCCCACAAAGCTTGTATAATCTCCGTTCTCTTAAGAGCTTAATGATTGACAGCTGCACCAATTTCAGTTCCCAGTGGAGAGAATTATTTGACTTCCCTCCAATGTTTCATTTATACAATTGTGATGGATTGACCAGTTTACCAAGTGGAATGCTAGAGCATTGTCGTTCTCTGGAGTCTTTGTGTCACGACCCAAAAATGGACGTGATGGCACTCGTCTTAACCCACTAAGACAAGTCAGCCTAAAACTCAACCATTACAATAAAATGCGGAAATTTTTATAATAAACTCAAATATACCCCCAAAATCTGGTTGTCACGTGTACAAGCCTCTAAAGTATTACAATTGAATCAAAAGAAAAATACAAGTCTCATATGACATTGTTTCTAGAGTAGAACAAGATCATAAACAGGAGTAAGAAGGATCGCTGAGAAGACAAACAACTACCTCACAAATCTCCCAGAAGCCTCGAAAAAGAAGAGAATAACAAGTACCACAAAAATCCAGGCTCGTAACCTACAAAAATTTGTAGAAGCAAGGGGTGAGTACCAAACCACACGGTACTCAGCAAGTAAACCTCTAAACACGAGCTAAGGGGATAGAATACAAGTACTCACACCCCAACCGAACCTTCACAACTACAATCTGTATAAAACCAGCCCAACTTAACAGTTCACAATTTACAAGCACATATCTCATCAACAACATTCTAACAATCATATATTCTCAACAACAAGTTCGTCAATTACCACCTCCACAACTACAACCTGCTTAGTACCAGCCCAACATAACAGTTCGCAGTTTACAAAACACATAGCTCAACACAACACTCTAACAATTTCATATCCTCAACAACAACAATAGTTTCATATCCTCAACAACAACACTCTAACAATTGCATATCTTCAACAACACTCTAACAATTGCATATCTTCAACAACAAGCTTAATATTCATCAGTCATAAGTTCCATAGAAAGGCACTCACAAGATCAGCAACACACAAGATCAAGTTCACCAATAATAAAGAAGTGCAATGCAATGAAATGCAATGTCAAGTATAGTGATGCATGTCTGACCTAGTGATACACACCCGCTATCTCTCAGTCCGGGACCCATGGGGGACATATCTTTCCATGCATCCATCGCGGCGGGCGATACGACCCTCGATAATAGTAACCATCGCAGCGCGCGATACGTCCCTCAAAATATAGTATCCGTCGCGGCGCACGACACGTCCCTCGAAATATAGTATCCGTCGCGGCGCGCGACACGTCCCTTGAAATATAGTATCCATCGCGGCGCGCGATACGTCCCTCGAAATGGTACATTCTCTTTATTTTCTTATTCTTTCTCAATGCACATAACACTTGTCACAACCATGTCTCAGAGCAATGCAAATGACATGTTCACACAAATAATGAAGAGATGACCATTTTCATAACATTGCACAATTCACAACAACACAATCAGGATACAACATCAACAATGATTCAACAAGCCTTTCAAACAATTCTCAATACATCACACAAACAATTGATCACATTGCCTTTTATTATCCCTTTCTCATCATTAGAATTAATCAATGTGGACAAGTCAACCCATCACCAAGCCTCATTAACCTAAACACATATTAGAAGGAAATACATGAATTCCATACACTTAACAAGGGTTTAGAAATCCACTTGCCTCAAGTAATAGAACAATCACTCTGGGACTTGAGCCTTTCCCTTTTGCTAAGCTTCCAAATCAATGCAAATCTAATCAAGTACACAATCACAATAAGATTTTGAAACTAGCAACACCCATTTTACTATAGGTTAGCCTAGACCCAAAAACTCACTCAATTTATAATCAAGTTCCTAAATCTTGATTCCAACCAATAGGTCAAATCTCATATTTCCTAAATTTCAAGTCTAAGGTTAAGTCATAATTTCTCCAAACACTTCAACCCTGAGAGTTTTCATATAATATAATATACCCAATATTCAATTTCACATCTTAATATATCAAAACTTGAATCATAATGTGATAACTAGATATTAACTAATGTCAAATATTAGTTATTTGCCTCAAAACAATTTGCAGATTAACATATTTCTAATGTTCAACTATAAACATTAATTCACTAAACTATTAGCTCCACAATCACGTCCAATGATTAGGCCATCATTGTCCAATGATTAGGTATCATTGGACAATGATTAGGCATTAGAAATCAGCCATATTCTTACCCCAACTGCAATACATACGCCACTGACTTTGGTTCAACTTTTCCTATTCAATTTTCTTACTTTCTTTCACAACCAACATTGCAGTAATAATCATTAAAACACGACATAAGCCAATAGAAATGTCAAACCTATATTCGTTCATCAATTGGTATCAATATATAATAACTTGCCACTCACATGTTGTCCCTTTAAGACCCAATTCTAATAGCATACACAATTAAGTGTTCACTCTTTTTCCTTCGACCATTAAGAAGACTGTCGCACTGACGCCACATGCATGTTATTATTAGTGGGAAATATTAGTTAACTAATGGGACAATTTAGCGTAAACTCTTTCACTAGAAATTATGTACAAAACAACAATCATAAAAGCTCAGCCAAAATACTTACGTGAAGGAAGACCACTCGCTGCTCATTGATGCCGCTTAGGGTTTCTCCCTATTCTCTTTATTTTTCTTTTCTAAAATAATTAAAAAGGTTAAATCTCACTAATTTTATTTATATACATGGGTCAAGTGATAAAGGGTACCAAGTAAATTATGGACTTGGCCCATTAACCCCCAATTAAATAAATTAATTATTTAACAAATATCCATAAACTAAATAATCGTAGTTAAACAAATAGTTCAAAATTCCCAACCAACTTCACAAACTGATCAAAAGTGACTCAGGGCAACTACCGAGATGGGTAAAACAATATTTTTTGTAAAAATTTCTAAAAATGACTTTCCGGGTCATTACACTTTGAGGTTCCACTACTGTAACAATTTAGTTTCCTTCCCTTTACATGTGGGGGAAATGACTTCACTTTCATGTTTGGGTTTATCACATTGTCCCAACTTGATTAGTGTACCCGCAGGGAGCCTTCACCTTATCACTGGGTTACGGCGTTTGGAAATTGGTCCTTTCTCAGAGATGGTGGATTTTGAGGAATTCCAATTGATATTTAATGGCATTCAATCTCTTCATACGTTGGAGGTGTGGGGACACTTGCACAGAGATCAAAATATATGGATTCGGAATTGAGGCTCTTCCTCATAGATTTGGAGACCTTACTTCTCTTGAAAGATTAACTCTAGTGGGGTGCAAACGGCTACAACATTTGAACTTCTCAGATGCCATGCCCAAATTACGATATCTGTGGATAAATGATTGTCCATTGTTAGAAGCTCTGTCGGATGAGCTCGGCAACCTTGTTTCTTTGCAAGAGTTAGTTTTACGGAAATGCGAGAAACTAGAGCATCTTCCATCTAGAGATGCCATGTGACGCCTCACCAAATTAGAATATATGATGATCCATGATTGTCCATTGTTAGAAGCACTATCGGATGCACGGATGACAATTGGGTGGGTTGGGTCAAATTTGGGCAGATCATAATGAGTTATAACAACAATCGGGTCAAAATCCAACTCAACCGTCAAGACCCAACCCAATTTTTACTAAATTTAATTATTTTATTTATTCTTTAAAATTATTTTAGTACCTAATAAAATTATCCTTTTCTTTATTATGGCTATATATATAACATAT